GGTGTGAACCTTTCTGATTGACTTTGCACTGGGAAGATTTATGCCTAATGCCTCTCTCCATGACATGCAAGGAAAGTTGACTCACTGCCTTGAAAGCAAGAGGATGATTGTTCATAAAGGAAGGACAAGAGGAATCTGCAGTTTTCTAGGTGAGATTCCCCTTGCATATACCAGACCCTACGATTTGCAGTGTGTTGATTTTTTTCCTCTGCTTTCTGGTGCTGGGAAGGAAGTTGGATTTCTGAGCAAGAGTCTTCAGGAAGCCTGAGGATCCTGCAAAGTGGGGAGGATGGTTTAAACTCCCCAAATGTGAGCAGGCTGCATGCATGGACTCAGATAACACAGACAAACAGGAAAAAGAATTGGCAGCCTGTGTAAACAGACTTGGTTATTGACAGCCAACAGCAGGTGACAGCTATTTTGGAGAAATTATGATTGTTGGAAAGAAATTAAAGCCTTTGACGTATTTGAAAGGATTTTTGTATGGTGGTTTTGTGAGGGACACTGGCCTGGTTTTTGCTTGCCTGTCAAGTACTGAACAAGGGGAAATTAATTTATCCCAGTGCTTGGCATTTAGAAAGTGCTGTGTGATGGTTTGTGGTTGATTTAAGTAAAGCTGGGGAGACTTCAGTGGTACATGAGAAAGAACTTCTTAACAGCTGTGAAATTAAAACATAAATTAACTGTTGAGATAGGCCATGAGGGTGCCTTAGCTAGACTTTCAAAAAGATAAATAACGTGTTTGTCTGGTTCTCTCTAGATTTTAAAACTCAATTGATTGTTTATTCCTTATTCTAGGTACCCAGTAGATCTTTATAACAACCATTTAGACATTTGTATAATTGTTTTCCTTGAAGAAACCTTAGAAATCAGCTTCGAGATTTGCATTTCTGTGCCTGCACTTGAAGAGATGAACTTGACTGTCTCTGGAGGTCTGTCCCAAGGCTTCTTCCAGGCCATACAGATCTGCGAGTTATGTCCCGGTCGTGGTGATGTCCAGGTACTGGACAGTGTGTCCCAACACCTCCCATATCTGTGGAAGCAAATCTGTGACATAAGGAATCCGGTTCCACAAAGGATGGTGTGCACGATTTCACGAGTTTAGTACCATTCCTTTTTGCCAAATAGCAGTCTTCAGGATGGGCATTACCCAACCAGGAGTGGCCACAGTGAGGAACGAAGATGGAAGTCGAAATAACTTCTAATGAAAGAAAAACCAGCCGGAGTGATAACGAGCCTTGTGCAGACTGTGGGAGGGAAACAATGATCCGACTGAAGCGGTAATAGGAGGGAAAAATGACTGAGATGACAGATCATGTTATATAAAGATTGTATTTTTTTTTTCCTGCAGTTTTTGGCCAGGGCTGGATTTGAACCTCCCACCTCTGGCATATGGGGCTGGTGCCCTATTCCTTTGAGCCAGAGATGCGGCCCTAAAGATTGTATTTTAAGTGTGAATAAATAGGAGGCATGGGGAAATAAAGGAGGACTGGGGACAGGAGTGTAATGCTGTGTTCATGCTCTGGGGTTGGGCTGGGGAGAGAGAAAAAGGCACACCAGCATCCGGGGGTGCCGGGGTAAGGGGTGCGTTCCTTCCTGTACTTTCTGGTGCTGGTTTCTTAGTGAAGCATCAGGCCCACTAAGGACCTATGAAAATCACCTGGGCTGGGACACTTAGGGGATGGTTTCTAAGGGCAGCTATCAGTCGGCTGGATTTCCCCAACTGTGCCCAGCTGGTCTCCAGCAGCAGGTTGGCTCTGTTTCTGTCTTCTGAATTTTTCACAGTGCTTCTTACTTTTCCAGAGGTTTTCTCTAGTGGTTCAGAGGAATGCTTGGTTTTGTCTCATCATCTGCAGCTTCCTTGGTAGCTTAGCTTTTCCCGTTGGGCTTCATTTCCCTCTGTGCTGTGGGCTCAGACACGGAAGAGCAGTCTCCAGAGAGCTCCATTCCAAAGCAAGCAGCTGTGATGTCCACATATGGCCTGTCATCAGATTTGGTTTGTTAAGTTTAAGTTAACCTTCGCCTGCTAGGTCCCGTTGTGCCTTCCACAGCTCCGTGTCTTGTAGGCATGCCAGTTTGCATTCAGATCATCAGTTCCATCAGTTTTAAATCCAGTTCCCAGTCCTTAGGGCATTACATAAGAGTAAGTTGAAAACAAAAATCAAAGATGTTTTCTGTGTCATACATCTGAACTAACTGGACTTGACTTCCTGTGGGGAAAACGAATAGCCAGGGAGACCGCACTATAGGTGTTATTAATGAGGGCAGAATGCCCCCCTCATTCCTAAGCAGGCGTTAGGAACCTCCCATATACGCATCAGAGGGTTCCAAGGTGTGCTCCTTGTTCCTTCAAGGAGCACATCATAGTGTGAGATCCTGCTGAAGGGAAGAGAATCTGCTCTAAACCAAGTCTCAGAGGATGCCAAGGGTGTTCACAGCAGTTGCCAAGGCAGAAAGATAGTTCTGCAGCTAGTTCTGCAGGGCTATATAGGTCAGGACTCTGGGGAGAGAGGACAGCAGAAAGGTAGCTGTTCCATGCTAGGAAGTTTTGCATTTACCTTTAAGACATTAGGAAGCCTTTTGGATGGTTTTTAAAAGGAGAAGACGGGATATAATTTGTATATAAAAATACAGCTTTGCTGGTTGGGAGTGGATTGGAGCTGGGCTTGGTGGTTCATGCCTGTAATCTTAGCACTCTGGGAGGCCAAGGTCGGAGGATTGCTTGACCCCAGAGGTTCAAGACAGTCTGAGCAAGAGTGAGACCCCATATTTACTAAAAATAGAAAAACGGTCCAGGTGTTGTGGCAGGTGCTGTGAGCTGTGACACTACGGCATTCTCGCCTGGGCAACAAAGTGAGACTGTTTAAAAAAAGTAAAAGTGGATTGACAGTAAGTGGAGCTAGAAAGCAGAGAGACATTATTTGGAGAGTGTAAAAATCCAGGTGAAAAATGAGAACTAAGGTGGTACCATGGAGTTAAAGAGAAAAATATATACCAGAGACTTGGCCATGAATAATGTGTATTAGGGAACTCTGGAAGGAAAATCACCCTGGCTTCAGGCTTAAGTAGATAGGCTATCATCTTATCAAGAGGCTTGGGAGAAAGGCAGCCACGTTTGCTTGGAAAATTACAGGGAAGATGATGAGTTCAGTTGGGGGTATGATTAATTTAAGAAGCTTCAAAGCCGTTCAGGAGGGGATGTCCAGAAGGGCTGGCCAGATGGGCCAGGAGCTCAGGCAGGAGATGCCAAGGTACAAATGTTGGCTTGTCCCTATGATGTTAAGAAGACAATTTGGCATCACTAGAAGGGCTGAGGACTCTGTGGGCATGATAATATTAGATTAGCTTTCTTGGAAGCCACATCAAACCAGCATAATAACCTCTATTATAGCATCGTTTAGAGTTGGTAGATGTGAGATGTACTGACATGACTTCTAGCAGAGTTTAGCAAAACTTGTGGTCCCCAAGGTAAACTTGGGTTCCTTCGCAGTATTGTTCTCTCTGTGGCCACCTTTTTATGTCTCTCCCAGAATGCTTGGAATTCCATGGTGAGAATCTCAGACAATTCAGAGGCTGCCTCAGTATGGAGAGATAAAGAAGTCGCTTTACTAAATATTCCATCTTCTCAGAAATCTTGCAGGGAGTTGCTATTAATTGTCTCATTTTACAGATGATGAAACTGAGCCTCTGTAACTGGTTATCTAGCTTATCTTGCAGTAGGCTAGCAGCATTATAGGTAAAGTTAGACTCTAAATCCCATCTTCTTTCTGCTACATAGGACTGACTTATAGTAAAATAAACCAAGGCTGTTAAATCCTCAGATGAAACTTTCTCATCTTGTTATTGTGGAAAAAATGTTTTGTGGAAATGATGTGGCCTCAGAGGTATTCACGAAGAGCAACACTCTCCTTGGATTGTCCAAAACTGACTCCACCACTGTATCCAGTACAGCCGCCCTTCCTTACCCCATGCTGACAGCAGGCAGACCTGGGGCTCCTGGTGATCCCCTGTCCATTTAAGGCTCAGCCACTAGGGCCTTTCTTATAATTTCCCCCCTTTCTCAGCCTACCTTTCTGCCTCTGCCCTTGTCCTACCACTCCCTACCCTAGGCAGCCAGAATAATGCTTTGGTTTTAGCGTAAGGAAGGCAGTCCTCTGCTCAGAAGCCTCTGACGCTTCATCTCACTTGGCATATGAGCTCTGGCCTTCAAGGCCTTGCACATTTTCACTTCTGGCTACTTCTGTGACCCTGTCACCAACCACATTCACTCCACTGGAACCAGGGCTTGTGAACTTGCTGTCCCCCTTCCTGCAGTGTTTTTGCCCAGGTATCTCTATGACAGACCCCCACATCACGGAGATCTCTGCCTGTCCCCATCACGCTCTGTTTCTTATTCTGCCTTATTTGCCCTCATAGCATTGACTTTCTGTTCTTTTATTGACATCACCTACACATAAGCTCAGTGAGCTCAGGGGCTTTGTTCTGTTTGCTGCTGTGTCCCCAGCTGCTGGGATAGTGCCTGGCCCATGTGGCGTGCCTGACTCAGTGGTATTGGTGGAATCATGGAACAAATACTCGCAAAACATGGTCCCAGAAGAGAGGGATGAGAAGTGGGAGCCCCATCAGCAAGGGACCCATGATAACATTGCTGGTCCTCCAACTGGCATCAGAAAATTGTGCACATTTCTCTGGGTGAGGAGCAGGTTTATTGCTCTGATAAGGATAGGATGGTGACCGGGACAGGTGGGCCCCCTCAGGAGATGGCTGGTATCAGTATGGGTCCCAAACCCACTCTAATCTGGAATTTACTCTCAGGAGTGTGTGTGGAGCCTGTTGAAGGTGCCTCCTGAATTGTGACTTTTGGGTCTCATAAGAAGATTTTGTCTGACAACTTGGCTTGAATGAGCTCTGCCTCAGAGTGTCCTTCAACAGAGCTATCCTGCTGGGACATTTGAACCTAATGCCATTTTCAATGCATTTTTCTATTACTTTTTTTCTAGAATCTTCTACGTCTCTCATGATTCCCAAGACTTGAAGATCTTCAGCTATATTGCTCGAGATGGTGCCAGCAACGTCTTTAGGTGTAACGTCTTTAAATCCAAGAAGAAGGTAAGGGGGCAGTCATTGGTCACCTATAGTTTTCCTCTGATTGTCCAAGAGTATCCCTGATATTGGCCCATCTCCTCCTTGAGAAGGTGCGACTTTCATAACTCCAGACGAGGGAGAACTACCTTGATTGTCTGTCGTTGCTCCTATGTAATGAAATCCTCTTAGTTTCATCTAAACTTTGTACTTAGTTATACACAGACTGTTGGACAGGCTTCTTCCACTGGGCGAGTGTTCTGAACAGGTGCAGGCAGTGACAACACCAGGAAGGATGCTCACCTCAGTCTGTGGTAGGAAGAAAGCATGGCCATTTACTAAAGTGATCCTTCATCATAATTCTGCACATTGATCATGGATCTGCCATAGATGTAGCATGTGATACTGGTTGTCCTGCGTGATTATTTTGATATGGCGACCTTCATACTTGATACTTCATACGACCGTCCTCGCAGCTTGTACGGTTTCATAGAGGCAGCCTTACTATCTTCCACCAGGGGTCTGTCACACAAAGCTGGGGTTAAGTAAATAGGACCGACTCTTCCTCTCCCTTGGAACCCTAAGTGGTGCTATGCAGGTCTCATTTTCCAAGAAGGTAGGCAACGCGAGCATTTCCTAAAATGTATTCTGGAAAACATCAGTTATCCAAAATGTTCCTTGTTAAAGCTACCTGATGTAAATAGCTGAGAAGTCCTGAAGTTAAACCTCTTTACCTTTGCTTAACCCAGCACTTCTCAAACTCATATGGCCATGGGACATTGGCCACATTACATTTTTTTCTATGTAATGTGTGTTAATATCCTGGGAACTATTTTTCTGCAGAAAAGATTTTGGGAAACACTGTTTATATTTCTAGAGGTTGCTCTAGAGACAAACTGCTAACCCTGGCTTCAAGGAGGACTCCAGCCCCCCTCCTGCCTGTTTCTCCTTTGATGCTGTGTGACATCGTATGTCCTGAGGCATCTGGAGTAGATTTGTTGGTCCCTTGTCAAGTGGGGCCGATAAGAACAATACACAGTAGGGGCGACATTTGCTGCTATGTGTCTGGTACCCCATTTGTGCTCCACAAAGAGAGCTGTGCTTGGCCTACTTAGCCTCTTCCTATAATGAGATTTGCACCTTTACCCACCCTGTTCCCAGGCTTTAAAAATGCAAATCATGAAATCTCGGATGGAAAGTGCTAGAGCTAGAAAAAGGGGAGGGGAATAAAAGGTAAGTTGCCGCACTTCATTGTCAAGATAGTAGTACAGTGGAGAGAAAAATGTTAGTGAGGCTAAGTTGAGCTGCACATTACAGATCTGAAAGGAAAAAGAGCAGCAAGAGGGAGAGAAAGAAAAGCCATAGGAGCTGGGGCTTAGGGTTTGGGAGACTGAAGGGCCTCTGTATTTTGAGGTGTAGGGCATCTGGGGTGGAGAGAATGGAAATTTACAGATGGATGGGATCGTCTGTAATATTCTTGGACAGATGCATCCAAAGACTGGAATTCTTTTTTAATTCATGTTAAATATTTGTGTTTCTTACTTTAATTTTGTACATAAACCAGACCACGTGGACCTTGGAATTTATTAACATTATAAACAACACATTGTTATTTACCAAGTGCTTTGATAGTTATTTTATCTTTATAACACATAAGTAAAGAACTTAAGGCAGGTAATTTTTATCCCCATTCTAACAAAGGAGAAAGTGAGGCTCAGAGGGATTAAATGACTCGCCCAAGTTCCCATGAATAGGCACTGGCTCGAACCAGGGAAACATGCAGAACAAAAAGAATCTTCAGCAAGAAGCCTAGATAAAGGGGACCAGTGTACTGTACTTGCTCTGCCGTCGGGTCTGATGCAGCATCGGACATAGTAGGGGCAATCCCATTCTTCTGCCGAAACCTGAGTCTCAGAGCAATGCCCACTTGAACTCTGATCTTGAAGTGAAGCCCAGAGCTGCTTTCTCAGTGGGAGTGGTCATCTGGTTCCCTGTCCCTGGCTCTTCTGCCTCCTGTGTTCCTTTCACCCTCACCTGCTGAGACAGTAGCTCTTTGCCGGGTAGGTTCTCAGGCCCTTTGCCAGCCTCTGGCCATGTGGCTGAGGGAAGTGCTTCCAGTCAGCCTGGGCCGTGTGCCCAGGGCTGCCAAACTATAGGTGGGAAGGCAGTTTCCATGCTGGGAGAGAGAAGTAAATTGTTTACCAAAGGAGGCTGACTCGGGGAGAGTTGGGGCACAGGCCTGTGAGGTTTTGTTTGCCGTCCTGCTTAGCTTCCAGACATGGCGATTTATTTTTTTGCAAAGCATTTCTGGTTTGGAGAGAACACAATTAGTTTGGGGAAGGAGTTTTAACTGACAAATCCTGGGGATACTTAAGAGGTGAGGGGAAAGGACTATAGACTGAGCAAATGTTTGCCTCCCAGAGACGTTTCTGGATTGTGAGAAGTCAATAGGGAGAGCTCTCGCCTGGGAGCCAGCAGGCCTGGGTGTTCTCCAGGGCCCTGGTATTAAAGAAGCTTCGTCTGAGCTCCTTGCTGTGTTAGAGCTTTGGTCACTGCTGTTTCACATCATGCCATGTCCCCTGTGTACATAACCATGGCGCGTTTCTCATGACAGGCCCCAAATGTTGGTGTCCTCCTCACCCTGCAGTTTAGTCTGGAGAAAAGGGCTGTTTCTCCTGTTGGTTGAGAGTGTGGGTCAACTCTCTTAGCTTTTCTGGGAGAGGGCCTCCCGATAGCTTGTTCCCTGTACCCGTGATTTCCTACCTGTGCCTCTTGCTTCAGTCACACATACAGCCGGTGTGGTTCCCACCCTGAGGATTTTTTTTTTCTGCTGTTTTTGGCCAGGGCTGGATTTGAACCTGCCACCTCCAGCATATGGAGCTGGCACCCTACTCCTTTGAGCCACAGGCTCAGCCCACCCTGAGGATTTTTAACCTGGAGCTGATTCTTTTCAACTGGCTTTCACTAGAGGCTAGATAGCAACATTTTGTAGGAATCTTCATGGAACCTGTTATTCTTCTATGACTCTAGGTTATCTAAGTTCTAGCCTTATATTGAACTAAAGAATAATATCTAACTGGTTTTGATGACTTGCTATGTGCGTGGGACTATTCTAAGCTCTGTAGATGAATTGTCTTATTTCATTCCCACTGTTGCCCTGTGACGTAGGTGCTCTTATGCTCTTTTGTAGATGAGAAGATGGAGCTGAGGGTACATGATTTGGGTAATGACTCATAAGTAGTGGAGTCAGAACTGAACCCAGAAAGTCTGACTCTGGAGCTCAAGCTCTTAACCAGTCTGTCACACTGTTGCCCTTGGGTCATTAGGAAGTTGCAAAATGAGGGAATCGCCTTGTTTTCCAAGACCAATTTGTAACTGGATTCTACTGTAATCATTGTGGGTACAGAGAGCTCCTTAACTCTGAACAGCCCGAATCACTTTGATATAGTTTTCCCTTTATCCTCCTAGTGTCCTTGTATGGTCAATATTGACACCATTGTATAGTTGGAGACAGGAAGGGCCCAGGCAAGCAGATGCCCCTCACTCGCACAGTGATCAGTGGTGCCACTGAGGCTTCCCAGTCCAAGATTTTAGCCACTAAGACTTGTAACATGAAATGTATATAAAAGACACAGGAGCCTTTCTGAACTTGAGTTTCTCCAGCCATCAAATCATGAAAGGCATCTCAGGAATGCTGCCTGCGGTATGTAAGTGATCTGATCTTTAAGGAACAAATTCTCCATGACTGGGAAGGACTGTGGCAGAGGGCTCCTAGCAGGCTTCAGGGTTGTGCTAGAAGGAAAGGGTGGGTGTGGGTCTTTTCCTAGCTTGTTAGTGAAGACATTTCCTAATAACGTGGGCATCCCGTTTCCTCTCTTTGGGGGGGGATATAATGATAGTATTCACTTGCAAGGCAAGAAACCTCTTGCCTGGTCTCTTGACCTCTCCTATGGAGTGGATGTCACCCTCCTGTCATTTCCTCCTAGCTTCAGGAGGCTGTGGCTGTCTGCCTTGATTAAGAGTGACTGTACTTATTAGCGTATCGGTGCGTGAAGTGTTGGTGATTAACACGAGCCACAGGAATCTCCCCATTATCTTCATGGGTATCTCCTTGAAATAATTTTGCCTGCAATCACAGCTCGATTGGTTTGGGTTAGAAGAATTCATTTCCTCCTCTAATGCTGTCACTGTTAAATCGGGGGCCTCATCTGTGACGTTTAATTGTCCTGTAGAGTTTGCAATGGATTTCAAATGATGATGACAGCCATATGCCAGCACATAGTCATTTGCTTGGTCGAGTTTACGAGGTGAAAGATAGGAAGGTCCTTAAATTGAGCTGTTTTTTATAGCTTTGGGCTGAGCTGGGAAGGCGAAGTATAGAGACCATCAGTCTCAGAACTCATCTAGTCCAAATCTCTCTGTTTATGGATGAGGAGATCAATACTGAGAAAGTTGAATTAACTTTTTCACGCTCACTCATCTGGTTACTGACAGCACTGAGATTGTAACTCATCCTTCTTTTCTCGATGGTACTGCGTTTCACGGACAAGCAGAGTCGTAGGAAAACCCCAGCCATCTGCTGGCAACTTTCCAACACAGTATGCATTGTCAACGTGGAAAGTCACACCTGCTTTGAAACTAAACTTTCTTCATAATGAATAATGTTCTGATGTCCATGGTACTGTCTCAGTCAAATTATATAATCAAGGTCACTAAATGACCTGTTGGACAAAAACCCAACTTATCTGACACTTCAAAGCCTTATTTAGTACCTTGGATCTTACTATATGTAGACGTCCAAATATAAATATTTTCATGCTTCAGCACTGTAAATTCCATAGATTGCAGTCATGATATGTATATAAGCTAAATCTTTCACTAAGGTCCCCCCCTCCAAAAAGAAAATCACATTAAAGAAATAGGACATTCAGTTCTATTTTTGTTGAGATTCTTTGGAAGTTAAGGTCAAGTAAGGGCGCTGTGTTTTATTGCTGTGATAGATGAGAATTGTAAATCTGTGAGCTGTC